ACAAAGTTGCAAGTACTCCATGGGACGTTTGTGTTGCAATAGATCAAAAACTGTTTTCTGAGGGAAATCTCAAACCAGCTGTGGAGGTGGGCTAGTTCTCTTACAGGGCAACTCCTGGCTATGCTCTTATTCTAAGATATCAGCCCTGCCTTCCATATGGTTGATTCTTAAAGCCTAGGTAATCTGCCTTAAATTGGCAACAAAGAAGTGGAGGTGGGGTTGAGTGCTGGGTGTGCGTGTGATGATGGTGGGGAGTTGGGGCTGGAGGGAGGTCTTGGGAAAGAAAATTCACCTGAGTGGGTAGTGATTTTCAAAGGGTGGTCTATATACCACCTGCATCAGAATCCTCTGGGGTCTTTGTTAAACATGTTAAATTCCAGGATTCTACCCCAAACTTGGAAGGAGCCCTGGTGGCGTAGTGGTTAAGCACTTGGCTGCTAACGTAAAGGCCAGTTGTTCAGACCCACCCAGTGGCTCCACTGGAGAAAGATGTGGCAGTCTGCTTCTGTAAAGATAACAGCCTTGGAAACCTTATGTCGCAGTTCTACTCTGTCCTGTGGGGTTGCTATGAGTCAGTGGGTCACTATGAGTCAAAATTGACTCCATGGCAATGGATTTTTTGGTACCTAAGATTTACCAAATAAATCTCTAATTGTAGGGACCAGGAATATGCATTTTAAACACTGTTTCCTTTGGATTCAGGCATCCTAATGTGTAATGATTTCTTAGATACTATATTTTGATAAAGTTCCCACCTCATTAAGACCAAGTGACCAAATTACCCTCCAGGTTCATCAGAGAATATAATCTTGAACACATAGCTCTCCAATTTTTTTGTAATTAGCATATTTATTCAAATAAAAGTGAATACAAGTGAAAGAAGGCTGACACAAAACATCATATATTGTATGATTCCATTTATAAGAAGTATCCCAAATACACATATCCATAGAGACAGAATGGAGTTTGGCGCTTGCCCAGGGCTGGAGGAGGACCGAATGGGCAGCCACTGCTTAATGGGTACAAATTTCCTCTTGTGATGAAAATGTTTTGGATCTAGATAGAGGTGGTGGTTGAATGTTAGTGTACTAAATACCACTGAACTGTTCACTTTAAAACAGTTAATTTTATGTGAATCTCACCTCAATTAAAAAAAAAAGTGGAGTACACAGTAAGTTTTTCAAACAATGCTAAAAAGTATAAAACTGTAAAGGAAATAAACCTCCCCTTTCCAGTCCTGAAACATGATTAACAGTTTATTATACTTCTTGGGAAAATATTATATATTCTTGCCGCTCAATACACATGGAGATTTGAAGTCGATTCTATGAGATACTGTAAATGTTAATCTTGAACCTACCCATTTGACACATACTTGAATTCTTACAGCATACCAGGCACTGCTTAGTTTTTGGAATACAGACACTTCTCATAAAAATCACAGATATTCTAGACTAGTTCCATAAGCCTAATGTGTTTCACTTTACCAAGCCTGCACTGAATACTAAAAAAAAAAATACCTTTAAGTGCTCTTTCCAGCCCTCCACTCCCTGTTTTCTATACCTGGATGCCCCTGAAGAAGGCATTTGATTTTGTGACTTTGGGATTAAGTCGTTTCTGAGAGCTATATGCCTGGAGCATATTGCCTACCTTTAGATTGCCTTAACAAATTGAGATTTGGGTTATGCCATCAACATAAAAAAATTAGTCTGCTATGAAAACCAATATTGGGCACTTTCCACAGGTCTCAGGACAAGAGAAATCTGTGTCCGTCCCAAGTAAATGTAAATCTTCTAATAGTCTCCCTTCACTTAGGCTGCTAGGAAGCACAGCCAAATTTGAAGCCCACCTCTATTGTGCAGAGGATTTACTAGCTTAAATGGTGGGTGCTAATCTTAGCCCTAGCTTCATCTTTTTTTCTGATCTCTATTTTCCCCTTACCTGAATTTCCTCATTTACTTATTTTTATCTTATTGTATGTATCTGTACAAGCCATTTTATGTTTTTTTAATGAGATGTTATATAATAAACCTAACAGGAAATTAACTGATTTATTATTTGTGATAGCATAAGTCATTTCAGTTTTATCTCCTGTCATGTTCCCTGATTGCTTCGTGTTCTGAGCACTTTATACAGCTATTACAGTTCTTTACACATTGCATTAGAAGTCATTTATGCACCTGTCCCTCTTAAAAGTTTCTAGTATAGGATCTAGCATAGTATTTGACTTGCAGTCAATGCTCACTTAGTGTTTGTTGAACTGAAACAGTTGGTTTCCTGTATCTTCTATGGACACAGATGCTGAAAAGCCTTGATATCATTTCCGAACTATAATTTAGTATTGATAATTTGAGGAATCATTTCAGTGCTAAATCCAGTATCTACACTCCCAAATCAAAACTTGATTTATGTTTTGAGAGAACAGAAAAAAATTTCAAGATATATTAAAATAATTTAGTCTTCCTGCTACTTAGTGTCTCCTAAGGGATCTTGTTAGAATACCTGTGAAATCATATTGTAGAGTTAATCACAAAAATGTAGTCAGAGTAGATTAAGGTTAACCCTGTTTCAGTATGTACTTTCAAATACAGTTGAAAACTCAATATTGGTGATGTAGTGGGAAATAGACATTTGCATACATTGTTTGTCAGAGTGAAACCTTATAGAGGGCAATTGGACAAGATTTAACACCTAAAATGCACATATCAGCAATCGAATTTCTAGAAATTTATCCTACAGGTATGTATACGTGGGCTTATGCATAAACGTAGATACAGGCGTTTTTATTGGAGTTTTTATAATAACAAATGAATATAGAATAGCAATGAAACCATTTAAATGTGTTTTTATTTACGTGTGTGTATGTATTCAGAACTTTCTTAAATTTCAAAGCCACAAAAGAAGGGGTTGGTTAAATTATAAATGTATTTACCGCTAATTGAAAAAAAAGGTGTAGAATAACGTGCATAGTATTCTACACTTGTGTATGCATTTTTAAAGGATATTCTCACATATGAACATGCTGATATATGACTAGACTATCTAGAAAGATAACACAAGTTCATGTGAGGAGCGGAAGTGAGGTATGAGACTGGCTTATTTTGCAATGTGTCCCCTTTTGAATTTGGAACAATGGGCATGTATTAACTTATATTTTAAATTAAAAAT